CAAAAGGAAATTTAGAAGACAATCGTCTTCAAAATGGGCAAATGGGGTGGATATATAAAGCAGAACACGTGAATACATCACCTCCTGGATGTAATACACTGCAATCATGTTACCTCTGATGACAACGGTGAGTTTCCATAGGCAATAGTCCTGCATACCACAATTCCAACAGTGTGACCTTAAGGTCTTTCTATAGAAAATTGAGGATCTCGTCTTTAACCATAACCGTCGATAATCCATGTCCGAACAGAGTTTTGATTCACACTAAAGATAGGTAATAGTATTCCATTTGAGGTCCCAATTCAGTTGTTCACTACATCAAGGCAATCTACCACTTCAGTACCTGTGACGAGAGGTAGAGCAAACTGAGGAAAGTATAAAGTACGTCCAAAATTTCTGATTTGCTAAACAACAGTTCGCATTGTAATAGGTCTTCCATGTATTTTAAACCATTAAGCTGCAATTGACGTGAAGCCGCCATGTATAGACAAAAATCTAAGGCAACTATCTTGGTGTGTGGCCGTCCTTCTGGCACGTCATTTAACTCGAGCCCTTTGTGTTCAGCTTTCCTGATTCCATGACCGACAAGAAATCATCACCTTATTGATACCTCTGCACACCCTCATGTCTATTTTTCTCTAACGGAGAAATTGGCCTCACGAAAGCTTACTATTCACCCCCTAAAAACTCGCTAGGTTGTTGAAAATTTCTTGTCTTTTCATTCTAGGCATAATGAGCAGGTTAAAGCAAATCTTAACGTATTTCACGATGATCAAATGTCAATTGTAACTACAAAATACAACGATCGAAAGTTACTTTTTTTGTAAGAATAGGCGATATCACAAAAACCACTTTATCGATATAGTTACTTAGTAGAAGTAATAGATTTTGACAAGAGCTATGAGTCATGCCAATTAAGTAAACAAGTTTACCTGTTATTTTCAAGGTCATAGCTCTTGTTAAAATCCATTACCTATACATATCTCTTTTATTTTTTTTAATTTTTCTTCTCGGTGTCATGATTTCATAAATTATTAGTTGTAATTATTAAGGACCAGACAAATCGTTATAATTTTCTCATTGTCTTACGCCTTTTGGGGCATCGAATTTCACTACCGATTTTTATGTCATAGGTTAGGTACCAAAATTTCGGTTATGGTTAAAGTTTCATTTAATGCATATTTAAAAAAAAATAAAGCAAATAAATAAAGAGCAAATTAAATAAAATTGCAATAAGAAGTCAAATAAGTGACTTTTGAGAGACTTGAAAGAGTTTTGAGAATCAGTAAACTAAACATTAAATACGTTTCCAGGCCTGTCTAGAAAAGTTTTCATTTCCACTGTCTGGAGTGCAATATTTTTTTTTAATTCGTGTGGTGTTACCTCTTTTGGTCTTTTCACTGTTTAGGATTTGCTTATAATTGTTGATGTCTTTTTTATTCCTTAGAACGATCTGATTTTATATTTATTTTCGCATTTCTTTTCTGATACAGTTTCACCATGTTTATGTGGAATTTAATTTCTTCATTTATCAATTTTTATTTACTCTACTACTTATTATACTATTTATTTACAAATAAAACGAACAAAACAGTATGAGCACTGAACAAAAATAAAGTAAATATTTGCTCTGTGCGTGACTGTGATGCCATCTGTCGTATCGCATTTAATAAGCATTACTGGGCATATTCATATAGAACAAATTAAAAATTTGTTCTGAATAGTTAAACAAAATATGCTTTTGTTTATTTCTATTAGGATTACTAAATATTTGGTGTGCTTACGAATATTATTTAAAAAAAATGATCAAGAACTCTGTAGAAACTTCTTTTTCATAACGAGTTTCAATAGTTTTTTAAGACTAATGTATAATATATCCTTGACGTAACTTATATTTCCAATGTCATATTTATAACTCTAGTTTGATTGTTTCATGAATGCTTTATTTATTTTGTGTGTACCTATACACTGTATACTAAAGGAAATAAAGAAGACCCCAACAATTATAGAGGTATAAATCTACTGAAAACCGCTCTTAGTCCACACAAGTCCTAACCAACAAAATCAATAAACTAACAACTTTATCAGATGAACAACAAGGATTCAGATCCGGAAGATCCTGCGTAGACGCCTTATTTGTACTAAGAGAAATCACAGAAAAGGTCATCGAGTACAATAAACCAGCATATCTATGTTTTATAGACCTGACAAAGGCTTTCGATCGCATCCAAGTCGAAGACGTCCTATACCTACTGTATAAAAGAAACATACCAATAAATATTATACCAACCATCGAAAACATCTACTTCCATCAAATACAGGCAAAGATAAATGGAAAACTAACACAGTGTATACCAGTACAAAGCTGAGTCTGACAGGGTGACTCTTTGAGCCCACTTCCCTTAAATATAATAATGGATGAAATCCAAAAAAAAAACAAAGAAATCCAAATATTATGTTATGCAGACGACGCCGCATTAATCGCCGAGACAGAAGACGAGCTCCAAAGATTAACACACATCTTCAATACAACAGCCAAGAAATACAATATGATAATATCAGCAGAAAAAATCAAATGTATGACAACATCTAAATACCCACTACGGTATAAAATCGAAATTGATGGGAAAATAATAAAGCAGGAAGCAAGGTTTAGATATCTAGGAATAGATATAACTAGTTACGGAGATGTTGAAGAAGAAGTACGACAACAAAGCTTAAAAGCAAGTAAAGCGGCGGGATCTCTTAATGACACAATCTGCAAGAACAAACAGCTAAGACAAGACACAAAAACAAGAATCGATAAAGCAACAATTAGACCTATATTAACATACACGGCGGAGACAAGACCTGACACATCTAAAACGAGACGACTACTAGAAACAACAGAAATGAAAACACTCCGACGAATATCAGGAAGTCTGTTGGATAGGGAGAGAAGCGAAAACATAAGAAGAGCATGCAATATAAAAGATGCAATAGCATGCAATATAAACAGATGGGTGACAAAACGAAAACAGGAGTGGAACGAACACATCAGTAGAATGGCAAAGGATAGAATAGTACGAATACCACGAGATAAGTCACCAAATGGACGAAGAAGTATTGGCAGACCAAGAAAAAGACGGTGCGACAATTTAAACAATTTAGGAGGCTAATATTGAAGAAGAAACAGGCTTAAAGCATACATACAAGAAGGAAGAAGAAGACATTCTCATTCCCAATAAACAAATTTTTGAAACGGATCTTCTATACTGGCGTTGTATTACTTTTTTCTCTATAGTAAAATGCTGAGGCGAGCGTCACGGAACTACCTCCACAAGATGGCGTCACCACGGCTAGAGTCACAAAATAGCGGTTCTTTACATCGATTCTAGTCGTTTCTTATCATCATATATTTGCTCTAAGCAGATTTAAATTAAAAACTGTTTGAAAAATATCTAATACAATAAAGACATTAAGTACTTAAATGAGAAGTAAAAAATTAAAAGAATATCTGTTACTAAAAGATTCGATTCGTAACGATTGTCAAAATTTAAAACTCACAAATGACATCGGGTTAATAACAACAGTGAATCATCTGTTTTAATTTTTATATATCTCGTGTTAAAATAATTTCATATAAATGCAATTATTATTTTTAAAAATATAATTTAGTTTATATAATAATTAAATTTAGTATCAAATGATATTTATTTATATTTTAATGTTAATTTAATATTTGGTTTGAATTTGACAAGTATGTCAGAAGTAAACAATGTATGCTTTGTTAATCCGTTTGCATGTGGCGTTAGGAGTAAACATAATAAATTATTGAATTTTTTTAAAATATAGACAGAATTTTTTTAAAATATAAAAAAATTAATAGATAATAAAATTACTTTATTCAATTTTAAAAATACAGAAAACACTGTATGAAGCTTTCCGCTAGTCTACAGTACCGTCTACTGTTCCACTTTTTTATACGAATAGTGCTCTAGTCTAAAGAGATATGCAAAGATTCCATACTTGGTTGCTATTCACGTTGCCATAGTTTCGCGAAAAATTTAAAAGAAACAAGAACTTTTAGAAGTTATAACTAAATTTAACAATTATAGGTACCAAAAAAGGCGTTCATTAAAAATAGGCTATTTCGTTTTAAAATGAAAGAATAAAGAGCAGTGAAACAATTTTTGTAAAAGTATGAGGTAAATGTCATTGATGAAGAAGACTTTTTTGGAATTATGTAATAGAACTTGTTTTTTCTCACTAAAATACTTGAGTAACACAAAAGTTTAACAGTATTATAATATGGATATTTTGAAATATGATTTTTCACTCGTAATACGATTATACTTGATCGGGTGAATCTTTGCCTATGTGTCATAATCCAATTTATATAAATTTAATCAAAAGCTTAAGTCAACTTCTTGAATTTCCATTATATTTGATAGCAACATAATAGGGTACTATGAGTTATGAAACTAACTACCTACTAGGTAGTACAAGTTACTAGGTAGTTTATGAAATATGTTGACTATTAAATTTTCTCTCAATAAATACTAGAGCTGCCATTTCTAGGTAATTTCTATATGTGGTATCCCGAACACAAAGAATGTTAACTAACTTGTCAGGCACAGTAATCTTTTGTCCCTTCAATGTCATTCGTCGCTGTGATTAACAAAAGTCGACACACTATGATCCCTTGTCTTATTCTTAACTATATTAGGAGTTCAATATAATTTTACACCAAAGCAAATCATGTTTTTATAATATAATTAACCGTCTGATGGTAACATAGACACGTCCAAACAAACAAATTTGCCGCATGTTTCATTACAATTTACAATGAAAAAGGAAAAATACTTTTTTGGCAAAAAGAAGTAAACTTGTACTGCCATACATCTAATTAATTTAAACACATTTAATCTAAGTAGAAAATATAAACAAAGACATTTAATACATTTGGGCTAATTAATTAAAAGAGTTAGGTTAAGTATGATACCTGTTGCTCAACTTACCGATTTTTCCACTACCTGTTGCCATTGTAAACAGTTAGACTCACTTAACTAATAAATAATTTAAGAGTAGCTGATTTTAACACTGGTACAGTTTAAATAACTCTTTTTGAAGATTATGATTAGAAACTTCTATAATTATAGCCGCTTATAAGAGGTCACACCAGATAACTGATAACTTTTCGAATAAACATGTTAGGAAATAGCTAGTGATACGTACTCACGTAACGATAAACAGTACACGTTAACGTCACAGATTGTATTAATAATGTGTGTCAGAAAATGTAGATTGATTTCAAAATATGTATTGGCCATAAAAAGTTCTTGAACGAATAATTATCAAAACAAGATATATATAATTATTTAAGTTTTTGCTTGAATATTATTTATATGCTTCCTAATTATAATACTGTGTAGGTAGGTGACCACTGTCCTTTCGTAATATCAGCAGTGCCGGTTTAACCAGGGGTCTTTTCGGGGCTGTGCTGTAGCACCGGGCGGTTGAAGTGCGTAGCGTATCTTCAAACTAAATATCCAGCACTTTGGCCAGATTGCCATATTTATGTAGAAATGATTCTAGAAAAATGAGTCGATCAGAATCTTACAGATATGGACTTTTCAGTACTTTTCATATCTTTACAGATATGGAAATTTCGACAAACAAAACAGGTATGCCAGTAAGCAAATATTTTATAAATAACTGGTTAATGGAAAAGTGGTTCGCCGCGATTGGGCAATTTACTTCGAGAGCACTGGCAATATATTTTGTCTTTATTGTGTTCTAGTTGAAAAAAAAGAACCAGTTGATGTAGAACTCGAAAAGAAAATTAGCACTGCCAAAGAATATTGGGTTAAAGAACTAGAAAGAATTATAGGTGTAATAAAGTTTGTGGCTACCAGAGAATTGGAATTTAGAGGTAGGTACTCATGAAAGAATTGGCGAAAAACGGAATTGAAACTACTTAGGTTTACTGAAACTATTGTCAGAATATGATCCATTTTTAAAAGAGCATATTAATAAACGAGCAAATTTAGGTAAGGGCATAACGTCATATTTATCAAAAGATATATGTAACGAATTACTAACATTGTCCAATCGATTCATTGACGAAATTGTTAAGCAAATAAAAGCAAACAAATACTATTCTAAATACTATCTATACTATAAATACTAGTAAATACTATTTTATATAAATGTAGATATGTCACCTGACATAACACACCATGACCAACTCACAGTGATTTTGAGATATTTTAACAATAAAGGGAATCCAGTGGAAAGATTCGTGGGATTTTATAAAAACACTGGGCATAACTCACAAGAACTTAAGATAACAGTTATTGGGATGTTAAGAGTCTTTGAAATTAGATATTAAGAACTGTAGAAACCAGTCTTATGACAATGCCAGTAATATGAATGGCAAGTATTCTGGTTTGCAAGCATGTATTAAAGTTTACAATGATATAGCTCTCTTTGTACCATGTGCTGCTCACTCTTTAAATTTGGTTGTCCAAAATGCAGCACATTGTTGTTTGGAAGCAACATCTTTTTGAAGTTATACTTCTATAACGCGCGTTCGACATTGGAAATTTGCACGGGAGTGAATCGGTGAAATCATTACATATGTAAGATATGAGTAAGAGAGAGACAGAAGATATATTTTTTCTCGAGAATAAAAATGTTCCTTTTGTATATATATTTAATATTATATTATATAAGTAATATTACATATATAATATTATATATATATTATAATAAAAATGCTACATTTAAAATAAAATGAAAATTTCAACATAATCCGAGTTGTTGGTTTTTTATTTTTATCTTCCACAAACATTTTTTAAAGTTATCCTTCTATACGCGCGTTTGACGTTGGAAATTTGTACGGACGTGAATCAGTAAAACCATTGCATATGTAAGATATAGGTAAGAGAAAGACAGAAGGTATATTTTCTCTCTCGAGAAGAAAAATGTTCCTTTTGTAAATATATTTAATATTTATTAATATTATTATTTTTTTATTAATATAATTATCATGGTAAATTAAACATATATGTAAGTAAGTTATGTATATTTTTAAATACTTATGAATATTGCATTTTAATTTGTATTGTATTATTATATTGAATTATGTTGCAATGTATTGTATTGTATTTTTATATTAATAACAAAATAAACAATGAATTTTAGTGCAAAGTACCCAGACAGCACAAGACATCCCTGGGACGTCCATTTTATGCCATTTTAAGGTCCAAACGTCCCGGGACTTCTTTTGGACGTCCGAGGGACATCCAAAGGATATTTATAGTTGGATATACCAGGGACGTCCCATAAGGTCGTCCAAGGGACGTCCCATTAGGGATGTTTTCTACATGTTAACTGTGTCATTTTTTTACTTAAGTATATTTTTTACAAAATATAATATCTTCCTACTAAACTTTATTTTAAAAAGTTATATTTAGTTTTAAATACCATTAATTTATACGAAAACAGACAGAGGCCCCTTTAGAGAAAAATCCTTATCCTATAGCAGAGCTGTATCTCTAAAATGTTGTTCTGTAGTGGAAGTGAGTGTGGTTAGAAAGAATGTGGTTATGTTTTAACGAAGCTTACCTTTAGCCACTTCGGAATCTTTTATTTCTCGAATTATAATCATTGTGATTGTGGTTGTAATTAGAATTAGTTTATTGCTTTCGATACTAGTTTATAGTTTGGTAATTTATTATTATAGACATTAAGTAGGTATATAGGAATTTTATAGGTAATTTTTGTGGTTTTGGTGTGAGTTACTACATTTGTAAAGTAAGTACGAGTAATGTGCTTAAGAAATACTATAAATTTAAATACATAATATGTTAATATAAGTACACAATAAAAATCCCATTTATTTTTGCTATTCATTTTATTAGTTTTTTGTAAGTTCCCTTTAGGTCCTGTATACATCCTCATTTAGGTTCTGTATTAGTCCATGTGAACGTACAATGGATGTCCCCAATACATCCTTCTTAGGTCCTATATAACTCCGTATTAAGTTCTGTATATGTACTATTTACGTCCCCATGAACATCCCTGGGACGTCCAGGGGACGTACTTTTTGGTAACATTTAGGTCTTATTGGACGTCCCGGGGACGTCCAAATTATGTAAACGGATATCCGTGGGATGTCCGGACATTTAATGAGGTACATCCTTCGGACGTCCATGGGACGTACTTGTGCTGTCTGGGTATGTGTAAAAAATTTTTATTTTACTTTTGATGTTTCCTCATAGTGATCACTGCCACACTAGAGAACTTTATGTCCTCTTCCTCTTATAACTAGAAGATAAAAGTATTTTTTTTTTCGTGGGATTTTATCTTTCTTTGTTTATCCATTAATATCACGGTCTACCTCAATCGCTTCTTTGAGAGGTATCTGTATCTGTAGAGTAGGGAGGGCGAGTTAAGTTTCACAGCACTTAGGCCACAATTTACCCATTGTGCATCCTCCTAGGGAGCTGTCACCCTTAGCTCATTGTCCATCCTGCCATTTCTAGGAAGGTGGACAAGTCACCAGGAGACATCTCACTTATGTGGGCAGGTGTAGGCCAGGACCCAGGACTCGCCGAACGCGTACTCTCGTATTAACGATAACTCTGGGCATTCACATAGGACATGCTCTACAGTTTCGTCTTCTCGTTCACACTTCCTACATAGAGGTGTGTCTACTAGCCCCAGTGTGTGGAGGTGTTTGCTTAGTTGACAATGACCAGTTAAAAAACCAACTGTCAAACGTAGATTTTTCCTGGTCATTCCCAAGTACTTCTTTGATGTTGACTCTTCAAGGTTACTTAGTGTTACCCTGGCAAGTCTACATCCTTCCCCTTCTTCCCATCTTTTTACGGTTTGCGTATGGGAGTGACATTTGACAATTTCCGCGATTGTTGTAGTTGACCAACCAAAAAGATCCCCAGGTCCTAAGAGTCTTAGGCCTGCCGCCTTCCTAGATAATTGGTCAGCAATGCGGTTGCCTTTATTCCTATTGTGTCCTTTAACCCACTTCAGGATGATGGTAATACCATCCGAAGCTTGAGTTAGTGACTCGTGACACTCCATAACTAAACCTGATGTGACACGTGGTCTATTCAAGGTTAGTAGCGCTTGTCTGCTATCTGTGCAGATCATTATAGTTTTCCCTGCTATACCTTATTGGGTTATCTCTTTTGCGGCTATGGAAATACCAGTTAGTTCTGTCTGAACTACACTGGCATTTTTGCCCATACCCCACTTTATTCTTAGGTTCAGTGATCTGGAGTATATCCCGCATCCTGAGCCTTCTTTCATTTTGGAGCCATCGGTGTGTATGCAATAGGCATTTGCCACGTTTGTCTCCATACACTGTCTTGTTTCAATTTTGTAGGGTTTGTTAAAGACAAACTTTGGTTCAATTGAGTCGCAGCCTGCCTGTAGTACTGGTAACGCATCCAGCTCTCCCCGCCAGAAACGAGTTCTCAATTGTCCCATTCCTACATCAAGGTTTGCACCAGCTGAGCGCAGTCGCATCATTGTCACTAAAGCCACCTCTTTGACATATATGTCTAGAGGCGTGATGCCAATGATAAACTCCATTGCAGCAGTTGGTGTTGTTTTCATGGCGCCTGTTATATTTATGCAAGCCATCCGCTGAATATGGTTTAGTTTGTTAATCGCTGTTGCCTGTAGCACTTTTGGTACCCAAGCAATAGCTCCGTAAGTTAGCATTGGCCTAATGGCAGCGGTGTAGACCCAGGCGATCACCCTGGGCGTGAGGCCTCAGGTGCATCCAACCGTTCGTCGACACTGTTCATAGGCAATATATGCTCTTTTAGCTCTACCATCTAGGTGTGAGTTCCATGTTAACTTCCTGTCGAGGGTAATACCAAGGTACTTCACCTCGTCAGAAAAATTTAGACTGTAGTTTAGAATCCTTGGGGGTATTAAGCCCGTGATTCTTCTTTTCCTGGTAAAGAGGACCATCTCTGTTTTCTTAGGATTTATAGATAGTGAGTGTTCCTTGCACCATGTTTCTATTAGTCGAAGAGCAACTTGTGATCTCTCACATAGTGTGTTCTCAAACTTACCGCTTTGCAGGACAGCAATATCGTCTGCATAGGCTATTGTGTAGAAACCGTTGCTGTTGAGTTGGTCAACCAGGGTGTCTAGAACTATGTTCCA